ACTGTTAGCCAACACATGAGTTAGAGGAAGGATAATTAGAAAATAGAGAAGAAATATCAGACGTATGAACACTAGCTCCGAAATCAATGACCCAAATGGATAAAGAAAGTTGGGCAACTACACTTGGTGAGTTACCTCCACCAGCAAAACTAGCAGTAGAGGTGGGTAAATGTGGAGAGTGAAAATAATTGTTGGATGAGCTGACTAAGCTGAGAAGAAATGCCATCATGAGATTCAAAGGTAGATGCCACTTGACTACCAATAAAAGTCTAATATGCTAGAAAGCATAAAAGATCATCAGACGGCTCCGCAACACGTCCACCTTTGTTGGATGGGAGCAATTATGCATATTGGAAAGTGTGTATGAGATTCTAAAGTCTCTAATGAAAGGGTATGGTTTTCATATAGCTTTCAGTTGTAGAAGGATGCTTGATTAACATATATTAGTCTCCTATACTTGTCCAAACAACAATACTCAATATGTCATGTGCCACCACAATAAGTATACTTTCACCTAGAATGGTTACCACAACCACGTCCACCACTACAACCACCACTAGAGAATAAGGTAGTGAACTTTGTTGTAGATAAGGAAGGCCCATGATCAAGGGAAGCATGTTGAAAAAAAATTAAAAAGATTAAACCTAATTCAACCCCCTCTTAGGTTTCATTTGGAACAACAGAAATTAGGATCATGTTTGCAATTGACTAATTTCGTAAAGTCTTCTTATAAATCTCAACATATTTCATAGTCATGATGCTACAAAGTTCAAGATTTGAAAGCGTTAAATGAAGAGAGGAGTTCACGCTACAACAACACATCAAAGACTCTGAATACACCTTCAAGCTTAAGACAAAGGTAATGGCCTTAGAGACCTAAGAACTCTTGGTTTAATCCTAGACTTGGGATGATTAGGGTAAAATGAAATCGGTATGTAATCCGTTAATGATTCCTAGATGTTCTTCAAAGAAAAAAAATTCTAAACCTTTATTGTGTTTTGAAAACATAGGATTGAATCATTAATCGGACCCTATTTGAGTAAAACTCTTTAATGCTCAATAGGACAAGTTTTTACTAGATTTCTACCTTAAAAATCAATAGAATCACCATTTGCTCGCTTGTCTTCAGCTAAACGGTCTCTGAAAACTTAGGATAAACTCAAGAAAAGCTAAACGAGTGGCCAGTAGAGACCATCCACCAGGTCGTCCTCAGGCCACTCGGGTGGTTCATGCTCTTCTACTACTATTTGAATATTTCTTTTTCATTCCATCAACCACTGCCATCCCACTGCTCGAGCCGCCGTTCGTGAATTTAGTTCACTTGCTCCCCAAGACAAACTCTATTCTGCACTTATAAATAGATGGAGTTTTCCCAAGTTAGGGTATCTCTTTTGTACGCCTAAAATATGTCTCTTAAACCTTAAAAGATCTTAGAAGAACCCTAGATCTCTAAATCCAAAAGACAAAATCCATCTTGAACTATAATCCAACCTCACACATTAGAGAAAAATATCTAACTTGAAGATCAACCATCCTTTGCCCTGACATCAACTCATCCTTTTCAAGTACGAAGACTCCGCGCTAAAATTGAAAGTATTGAGATCTCTACCCGAAAGGTTTCAAGCTAAGGTTATGGCCTTAGAAACTGGAGTCGATTCAGGTAAGGTGTCCGTAAAAGACCTTGTTTGGTCAATTTTGACTTTTGAGATGATTCTCCATCCACCCAAGAAATCAAAGTGTGTGGTGTCGAGTTAGAAAAAGTTCCAAAGATATCTTAAGGCTAGTGAATCCTCTAGGTCGAAGGGTAAGTTGAATAGCACGAAAACTCCTAAGGAGGGACAAGAGAATGAGGTAGAAAAACTCAACAAGAGATTGAAAAAGAGGCAAGACCTCCAACTTTGAGTGTCAAGGTTTTAGACACATGACTACAGATTCCCTGAATAGAAAGGAGTCGTCGCCCAAGGATAACAGGAGGGCAATGAAGGCTAAGTGGAGTGAGAGTGAAAGTGAGTCCACCTCGAGTGAGGACTCTTTTTAAGAAGATAAAAAGAATTTCATGGCCTTCATTAGTTCACACTCCTTCCCCCAAGAGAAACTTCTACGATAGAAGTTGAGAATAAGAAAGAAACTTCAAAGAATGAAGTTAGAGAGAACAATTCCTACCATAGAGGTAGAAGACTTGGATGTTGAGGTCTCTTCAAGTGAGGATGATACTAAGAGGATTGAGAATATTCAAGAAGCTTAAGATTAATTAGTTGAAGAATTCCTCAAAGAAAAAAAGATAGTGCATGCATTGAGCACAAGGCTCAAAACGAGAGAAAAATAAAAGTAAGTACTCCATGTGAACTTAGTTAAGTCCAAAGCTTATAATTGTGGATTTGAAGAAGAGATTAAGTCCTTAAGGGTGTGTTTGGATAGTGGGTTTGGATAGGGTAGGATACTTGTTTTTTATATCCTAACCCATCCAACCTAAACCCACTCATCTACTTTAAATCCAAGGTGAGGAAGTATATCCAATCTAAACCTTTGTTTGAGAAACAAATATGTAATTGTGTGGACCCCATAGATTACACAAAATATTTTATAGTAGTTTACTATTCTACCTATGACTCTATCCAATCTTACCCTATTTTGAATTGGTGGCTTATCCAAACAAAATTCGATATTTTCCACATATACATAATAACATTTGACAAAAAGGATTCCCCCATTACATTTGACATCCCAAAGGACAAAAAGAAAAAAAAGAAAAAAAGTGGCAGAGGGATGCAAGGTCTTCTAAACAAAGAAGAGGCACCAAAACAACAAAATCCATAAGAAGAATTCTCCAACCAGCAGCCTAGAAGTAAGCAATACACAAAAATCTTTTGCATGACATATGTTGCACTTCCTAGTTCCTACCCATACTTTTCCTGTGATGGCATCTAGTAAACTCCAATGATGGCATGAACAAGGAGCAAAAGACATACATGTAGACGATTAAATAAAAATTGAATAACATCCAAACAGCTAAATAGGCTAAGAGCAAATAGATGTTTATGAGTGTAATCAATTAAGCACAACCAGAAAAAAGAATAAGAGTTAACAGGACAGGCAAATCTGAATTTGGTGTTAATCAAAGAAATTAGGAACACCCACATGATTATTTTGTTTTTGCCTAAAACCAATTTTCTTTTGGGCTATGACTCATATTTGATTTGAACATGCAGAAATGATCAAAAGTTTAAAACTTCATAGATATATAACCACTGTTATGCAATTTTTTTTGTTAGAAGAAATCCCATACTGCCCCACCCCAGCCCTCTTTTTTTTTTCTTTTTTCTTTTTTTTTTTAAGAAATGAGAGATTTTTTATTGAATGAATAAAAGAATTACAAGAAGCAAACAAGAATCAAAGATTTCAAAATTACAACCAAGGTTTTAATCCTTCAAGAGAGACCTATTCATCGGAGAGAGGGAACACATATACCATTGACCTTTGTCGGACAACAGAGAGAGCGAGAGACCTCCCATAAGCTTCTCCTTCGCCTTCATCGTCGTCGTTGCATGTGTATGTGTGCTTATCAGCCAAGGAGCCTTTTTGACGAATGGTTGGACGAAGTGAAAAGGGTAGGAACATTTTTCTATGCAGGGGTAAAAATGTCATTGCATCTCTTATCCTCTTGACAAGGTTTGGAACCCATGGGGGAGGTGGGTTATATTTAACCCATGTAGCTTGGATAAAAAACACCGTAGCACCCAGATCAAGGTTTGACCCGGAATTTATATCCTCACTCAATTTTTGCTTCCCAAACAAGGGTTTTGTGAGACCCATGACTTCATTAGCCTATCCATATGGGTGTTAACCTACTACCCAAACACACCCTAAAGGACAAGTGAGTTTTCTCGAGAGTGAATGTCATGAACTTGTAGAGTCAAAGAAGAGTTTATTATTTAAGCTGATAAAACTTGATAGCATAATTGTCAAATCGCAATTCATATCGTGAATCAGAATTCTAAATTTGAGAATCGGTGAATTGTATTAAATCGTGAATTGTAAGATTCGACACAAAATTTGAATAAAAATAAAAAATAATACTACATATTTAAAATAGACAAAATATTGAATATTGAACATTATTGCATTCTAAAAATAATTAATTGACATAATTACGTCATCTAAATGGAAAGACGCTAGCCTTGTTCTTCTTTTTCTTCTTTTGCTTAACCATTTTCAAATTTAACAACTTAAAAAAAAATTCATTAAAGAATCATGGCTATTCAAGACCAAAATAGTGACACTCAATATAGATTAGGCTACAAAATTAATTGGGAGAAAACATACAAGTCAACATTTTGAAACAAAAAAATAGAACAAACTAGCCATAAAAGAATTGAGAACAAAAATCAACCGATGATGCAAGAGGATTAGTCGTGACCTTTAGTTTTAGACGACACAAGGTGAGCTTTAGACGACATCAAAGAGAGAATAAGCAAAGAGGTTGAGTTTCGACTCGTGAATCATACGATTTTGATAACTATGCTTGATAGAGACATTTATGAATCACAAGAACTCTCTAAGAGACTTTACCTAAGCTCGGAAAAGCTTAACAAAATGTTGTCTATAAGGAAGAGTGTAAGTGACAAAAGGAGTTTAGTCTATACACATGAGCACACCACTTCCACACCTTCCAAGACCGTGTTTATAAAGTGTAGCCCAACCCATCACCCCCACGTGTGAACACAAATCCCCCAAAGACTAATAATTATACAAGGGTAAGCACTTAAAGAAATCGGTTGTCAAAGAACCCTTAACCAAACAATTTGTTCGTTTCCCATGTGAAGAACATGGTCACTATAGCACGCATTGCATGCATAATAGGGATGTCATGTCTAAGAAACTCAATCTCCTATAATAGCACGCATTGCATGCACAATAGGGATGTCATGTCTAAGAAACTCACTCTCCTAGCTAACCAATCCAAAGCCTTAAATGATTAAGTCATGTATCTTACCAAGTTTATGGATAGGTCATGTGAGTCTAAGCCTAGAATTCCTTCACCACCTAAAGGCTCACAAGCTAAGAAGAATAAAGCTCCATCTACTCCCAAGGTGAAAATCAACTTATCTACATCTAGAGAGAAGAGAATAANGTAAAAATGGGTTTTGTCTGATGGCCTAACATCACCGTACAGTTTCAATTTTAAATGGGTTGTCTCCAAGAGTTGAAAGCATAGTGGACTTAGGAGTTCTATGACAAAAATGGCTATTGGAGCCTTCAGAAAGTGCAAGCTAAGGGCCAAAAATTCAATGGAAATCTATGTTGAATCCACAGCAAAATGCTTCTAAGTGTTGTTTTAGTTAATTTTACTTTCATTGGCATGTTAGATTCTGTTGATTTTTCCATTCATTGTATTAGAATATCCCTCATAAATTGGTTTATGAAACTTGTGGATTTTTCCATTCATTGGATATTGATTTTTAGTTCGACACTTTATTTTATTATTTTTAGAGGCCTTGGGATCAAAGTGAAATCACACAAGTGAATTCGACCTAACCAAAAAAAAAAAATTTTTGGACTTAACNCTATTGATTTTTAGTTCGACACTTTATTTTATTATTTTTAGAGGCCTTGGGATCAAAGTGAAATCACACAAGTGAATTCGACCTAACCAAAAAAAAAAAATTTTTGGACTTAACCAATTTTTTTTTTTTTTTTGACTTAACCAATCTTTCTACCAGCATTGGTGAGCTTGATAGCATGCACCTATTAGTGATTTTGTATTTGTATCAGAAATGTGAAACTTTTTTTGTTTGAAGAAATATCTTGAATCTATTTATGATATCAATCTTGAATCTATTTCTAGAAAGCCTTAGAAATCTCAAAATAGGAGACTCCCCAAAATAATCTCAAGACNGTTTGAAGAAATATCTTGAATCTATTTATGATATCAATCTTGAATCTATTTCTAGAAAGCCTTAGAAATCTCAAAATAGGAGACTCCCCAAAATAATCTCAAGACCAATAATACTAGCCTGTACCTGAGACCCTAGCAACTCAGAAACACCTTCCAAAGTTGTTGATTTTGCTCTCTATAGTTACTGATTTTTTTTTCTCTATGTAGTTGTTGATTTTTTTTTTCTGCTATTGTTCCAGATTCTATCTGGTCTAGTGGTAGCTCTCTTATGTTCTGGAAAGGGTAGACAGAATTGGTTGTAAGCAGTTTGTTCTGTTGCTGGGATGATTTTTGAGGATAGCTATTGGAGTGCTGATGGTTTATGGTTGGTGTGGATTTTTTGCTTAGTTGTTATGGCCTTGCTGGCATGGTGGCAGATTGTTGCGGTTCCAGTGTAGAGGAAATGCAACTGAGTTGTGGGTCTTACCACAGTATGAGAATCTCCTTCAGTAGATTGAGGAGGTGTAGGTCCAGTTTTTTATATTGTTTGCAGGCAGTATGTGGCCTGCATTTTGTCATGGGTTGTTTTCTGCATTTATGGCTGGGCAAATTTAGTCATTGGGTTTGCACTGGACTGTACCGGTTTCTGCTTTATATTGGACGGCATTTTCTACAGGTCTGCACTGATCTCGAGCATGGAGACGGGGTATGCAGGCAGAAGTTTCCCAATTTTAGAGGATTTCCAAAATGTAATTAGAAATGGTTTAATCCATCTTGAAGGAGTAAAGCCATTTTTTGCATATTTTTACAACAATTTGTTCTTTGATTCTTGTAATTCATTCTTTTTGGATATAAATTTTTTTCTTTAAAAAAAATGTATACAAGCTAGTCCAAAAAAAAAAAAAAACTACCAGTGTTACAACCAAACGAGTTTTCTGTTGTTGTTTTCAAACTTTTTTACAACTATAAAAGCAACCAAACACGTTTTCTGTTTTCGTTTTTTGCTAACGAAAGTCTAAAACTGATTTTGTTTTTTATTTTTAAGAGAAACCAAAATTGTAAATGTTTCCAAACGAGCCCTAAGGTATCTGTTTAACTAGATTACTTGTTGATATTCAATTTATGTGTATACTTATGATTGTCAAAATATTATTTATGATTTGATTTTCTCGTTGTTAGGTATTCATGACTTTTTAAACCTTTTTCTTTTTAATTTTTAAATCAAGAATTAGTTGTATATTAGCTCTCCACTTTTCATTTTGAATGGTAGTATTTGTGGTCCAAGTTGTGTTGTAGTCCTAGATCTTCCTAAAGTAGTGTTGTCTCCACTATGACTTTTTAAATCATAACTTTAAAAAAAAAATAAATTTAATTCCAGAGTCAGTTGTTATATGTATATGCATATTGTGTTGTGGTCCCAGATGTTACATCCTGTCAGATTTTTGTTTCATAATGAAATAAGTTAAGAAAGTTGTTAATATCTCCATTTATTATAATGTAGGATGATTGAGCATAAGTTTACTATTCAAATGCACTATGGGGGATATTTTATTTGGAAGCCACACATTCGGTACGAATGTGATAAGGTAAAATACATTAGAGATTGTGATCTAGAAAAATATCATAATAGAGATAGCAGATTTGCATGCCATAGTAGGTAGAGATGATATAAACAATGTCATTTATTATGGGCTTCCTTGTTATAGTTTGGACANATTTTGACTTTTGAGATGATTCTCCATCCACCCAAGAAATCAAAGTGTGTGGTGTCGAGTTAGAAAAAGTTCCAAAGATATCTTAAGGCTAGTGAATCCTCTAGGTCGAAGGGTAAGTTGAATAGCACGAAAACTCCTAAGGAGGGACAAGAGAATGAGGTAGAAAAACTCAACAAGAGATTGAAAAAGAGGCAAGACCTCCAACTTTGAGTGTCAAGGTTTTAGACACATGACTACAGATTCCCTGAATAGAAAGGAGTCGTCGCCCAAGGATAACAGGAGGGCAATGAAGGCTAAGTGGAGTGAGAGTGAAAGTGAGTCCACCTCGAGTGAGGACTCTTTTTAAGAAGATAAAAAGAATTTCATGGCCTTCATTAGTTCACACTCCTTCCCCCAAGAGAAACTTCTACGATAGAAGTTGAGAATAAGAAAGAAACTTCAAAGAATGAAGTTAGAGAGAACAATTTCTACCATAGAGGTAGAAGACTTGGATGTTGAGGTCTCTTCAAGTGAGGATGATACTAAGAGGATTGAGAATATTCAAGAAGCTTAAGATTAATTAGTTGAAGAATTCCTCAAAGAAAAAAAGATAGTGCATGCATTGAGCACAAGGCTCAAAACGAGAGAAAAATAAAAGTAAGTACTCCATGTGAACTTAGTTAAGTCCAAAGCTTATAATTGTGGATTTGAAGAAGAGATTAAGTCCTTAAGGGTGTGTTTGGATAGTGGGTTTGGATAGGGTAGGATACTTGTTTTTTATATCCTAACCCATCCAACCTAAACCCACTCATCTACTTTAAATCCAAGGTGAGGAAGTATATCCAATCTAAACCTTTGTTTGAGAAACAAATATGTAATTGTGTGGACCCCATAGATTACACAAAATATTTTATAGTAGTTTACTATTCTACCTATGACTCTATCCAATCTTACCCTATTTTGAATTGGTGGCTTATCCAAACAAAATTCGATATTTTCCACATATACATAATAACATTTGACAAAAAGGATTCCCCCATTACATTTGACATCCCAAAGGACAAAAAGAAAAAAAAGAAAAAAAGTGGCAGAGGGATGCAAGGTCTTCTAAACAAAGAAAAGGCACCAAAACAACAAAATCCATAAGAAGAATTCTCCAACCAGCAGCCTAGAAGTAAGCAATACACAAAAATCTTTTGCATGACATATGTTGCACTTCCTAGTTCCTACCCATACTTTTCCTGTGATGGCATCTAGTAAACTCCAATGATGGCATGAACAAGGAGCAAAAGACATACATGTAGACGATTAAATAAAAATTGAATAACATCCAAACAGCTAAATAGGCTAAGAGCAAATAGATGTTTATGAGTGTAATCAATTAAGCACAACCAGAAAAAAGAATAAGAGTTAACAGGACAGGCAAATCTGAATTTGGTGTTAATCAAAGAAATTAGGAACACCCACATGATTATTTTGTTTTTGCCTAAAACCAATTTTCTTTTGGGCTATGACTCATATTTGATTTGAACATGCAGAAATGATCAAAAGTTTAAAACTTCATAGATATATAACCACTGTTATGCAATTTTTTTTGTTAGAAGAAATCCCATACTGCCCCACCCAGCCCTCTTTTTTTTTTCTTTTTTTCTTTTTTTTTAAGAAAGGAGAGATTTTTTATTGAATGAATAAAAGAATTACAAGAAGCAAACAAGAATCAAAGATTTCAAAATTACAACCAAGGTTTTAATCCTTCAAGAGAGACCTATTCATCGGAGAGAGGGAACACATATACCATTGACCTTCGTCGGACAACAGAGAGAGCGAGAGACCTCCCATAAGCTTCTCCTTCGCCTTCATCGTCGTCGTTGCATGTGTATGTGTGCTTATCAGCCAAGGAGCCTTTTTGACGAATGATTGGACGAAGTGAAAAGGGTAGGAACGTTTTTCTATGCAGGGGTAAAAATGTCATTGCATCTCTTATCCTCTTGACAAGGTTTGGAACCCATGGGGGAGGTGGGTTATATTTAACCCATGTAGCTTGGATAAAAAACACCGTAGCACCCGAGTCAAGGTTTGACCCGGAATTTATATCCTCACTCAATTTTTGCTTCCCAAACAAGGGTTTTGTGAGACCCATGACTTTATTAGCCTATCCATATGGGTGTTAACCTACTTTAACCTACTACCCAAACACACCCTAAAGGACAAGTGAGTTTTCTCGAGAGTGAATGTCATGAACTTGTAGAGTCAAAGAAGAGTTTATTATTTAAGCTGATAAAACTTGATAGCATAATTGTCAAATCGCAATTCATATCGTGAATCAGAATTCTAAATTTGAGAATCGGTGAATTGTATTAAATCGTGAATTGTAAGATTCGACACAAAATTTGAATAAAAATAAAAAATAATACTACATATTTAAAATAGACAAAATATTGAATATTGAACATTATTGCATTCTAAAAATAATTAATTGACATAATTACGTCATCTAAATGGAAAGACGCTAGCCTTGTTCTTCTTTTTCTTCTTTTGCTTAACCATTTTCAAATTTAACCACTTAAAAAAAAATTCATTAAAGAATCATGGCTATTCAAGACCAAAATAGTGACACTCAATATAGATTAGGCTACAAAATTAATTGGGAGAAAACATACAGGTCAACATTTTGAAACAAAAAAATAGAACAAACTAGTCATGAAAGAATTGAGAACAAAAATCAACCGATGATGCAAGAGCATTAGTCGTGACCTTTAGTTTTAGACGACACAAGATGAGCTTTAGACGACGTCAGAGAGAGAATAAGCAAAGAGGTTGAGTTTCGACTCGTGAATCATACGATTTTGATAACTATGCTTGATAGAGACATTTATGAATCACAAGAACTCTCTAAGAGACTTTACCTAAGCTTGGAAAAGCTTAACAAAATGTTGTCTATAAGGAAGAGTGTAAGTGACAAAAGGAGTTTAGTCTATACACATGAGCACACCACTTCCACACCTTCCAAGACCGTGTTTATAAAGTGTAGTCCAACCCATCACCCCCACGTGTGAACACAAATCCCCCAAAGACTAATAATTATACAAGGGTAAGCACTTAAAGAAATCGGTTGTCAAAGAACCCTTAACCAAACAATTTGTTCGTTTCCCATGTGAAGAACATGGTCACTATAGCACGCATTGCATGCATAATAGGGATGTCATGTCTAAGAAACTCAATCTCCTATAATAGCACGCATTGCATGCACAATAGGGATGTCATGTCTAAGAAACTCACTCTCCTAGCTAACCAATCCAAAGCCTTAAATGATTAAGTCATGTATCTTACCAAGTTTATGGATAGGTCATGTGAGTCTAAGCCTAGAATTCCTTCACCACCTAAAGGCTCACAAGCTAAGAAGAATAAAGCTCCATCTACTCCCAAGGTGAAAATCAACTTATCTACATCTAGAGAGAAGAGAATAAGTCCACCACATATTCCCCAACCAAACCTGAAAAATTGGTTGGACAAATAAGTTTGGGTGAGTCAAGAGGACTTGGAAAGGCTCACTGCTTCAGTCAAATTGGAAGTCATTAGTGCTACTAAGAAGGTTGAGTCACCTAAGATGTAGGTGAAGTGAGAGTGCCGACCTAGGTGCACAATTCATGCATTGCATCAAACACCCTAGGTTCATGCATTATACATATTTTTATTTTTACTATTAATAAAAAACACAAAAACAATTGAAAATTGAAAAATCAAGAATATTTTTGATGTCTAGTTAAACATTTATTTTAGGATTTATAAATGGCTAAAATGATTATTACAAAAATGATTGTAAATCGCAAGACTAAAAATTGCAATTGTTATCGTGCAAGATATACTCATGGATGAACAAAGGTTTGAAATCAAGTCAATCTCAAATCTAGAAAAAAAAATTCAAATTCAAATTATTTTCCTTCAACTTCTTGTATATAAGGTATTTTGAGTCTAAAGCATTTCTAGATGGTTGAACACAAATGTTGTTGAAGTATAAATACTTAAGTTACACCCTTTCCAACAACTTAAACTTTTGGAGTAAATGTTTGTTTAATATAGTATTGGAGCAGGACATACAGTGTTCAAATCTTTCTGCCACCCTAATTATTAAAAGATTTTCACGTGCTAAGTCCAAATCTAGTCTGCACGTGAGGGAGCGTGTTAAAGTATAAATACTTAAATTCCACACTTTCCAACAACTTAAGTCTTTGGAGTAAATATTTGTTTAACAACACCAACATTTTGCGTACAAATAATTCAACAATTAGAAGCCACTATATCTCATAAAAGACATCAATCCACCTCTCTTGGATTAGCATCAGTCTTTATTTTCACCAAATTTTATGACAAAACTAGAAGCAATTAACACTTCATACTGGCAGAAGCTATCTTTAATATGTGATACGCAACCTTTGTAATCTTTTTTGTTTAAAAAATAAAAAAAGAAAAGAGAAACAAAGAATAGTAAGATGCAAACTAAATACCTGAGTCAAAACCTTAACGGCAAGCGTGAAGCAAATCAAGTGGTTTACTAAAATAGAAACAGCTCCCAAACATCAAACAAAAATCCTTCATCTATAATATAAAATAGGACAGACTTCAATAAGTCCATCCGACGGTCTCAAATAGACTCATCCGGTTACCCCTAATAATTATATAATCTTGGCATTCAACCACCATCTTCTCTAAAGTGAGGCAACATTGAGCTACTTTTGGAATTTAATTAAAAAAATTGAGTGCAACATTACTGCGTTAGGCAAGCAAATTTTTTGTCATCTTAGTACTTGGGACACCCAAACATGTGAAAGCCATGAAATGTAACTGCCGTGCCTTTTAATTCCTCAAATCATACAACAAAAGAAGATAAAAAAAACTTAATAGAAATAGAAGCCTTCGTAAGTAGGAACTTCAAAAATATACATTGCACATGGTCACAAATAATTAACAGCTAAGTACTTTTTTTTATGAGAATTTATAAGTAAACTATTGGCAGACTATGATATCATAACATGACACACTTACATGACAGAAACTGGATAAGACTTTTCTATCAGGTGAAACTGTCGATGAAGCTCATATGAGAATAGTAGTAGGCACACTATCAATAGAAGATTAGATGTTCGTTAAAAATTAGTGACTAAATGATCAAATGAATGTCAAAGTGACACATGGCTTACATTTTGAATACTCGTATACATGAGCACATGGATAGCGCTTTGATTTTGAGAAACACCTCCCAGAAACAGTTTCCTTGTCAGCCTGTACGCCATATACTAGAGAAAACATATATAAATACCCAATCCCAACTAATATGTAAGATACTGTCAAGAACCTTTTCAATGAGTGCAACTATGGCGTTGCTTTTGAAAATTAACATAAAAAATTGCCTAACAGGAACCATAATATATTTGAACGACTTGTTCGCATTAGGAGAGAATATATTGAGTGCTATTATGTCATGAAATTTTTTTATGTCAAAGACCAACACGTTGTCATACAACATACTGGGCCCTGACATCCATGGTGCTGTTTGGTTTAATTCTTCAGTAGACACCATATCACTCACTTTGTATGTTTCACAGACTATGTTGCACAGTGTGAAATAACAAAAGCAGTGATGAATAAGTTGGAAAAGGAATACTCTAAGGTGAACTCAATCGAATAAGAATGCCATTTTGCCCTCACGAAGCTTATAAACAAGTTTGGACAAAAACAAAATCACCCATTAATTTGTTCATGACATTTACTTTGTTTACACAAATATTTTAGAAAGCCTCACCACTCCGATGTGTAAAGGATGTGACATTAACAATCCGGGCCGGTACAGGGCTATTCTCCATAAGTGGGAGTAAAATTTGGGTAAGACAAAATGCCCCAATGTAATTGGTTCCCATCATCCTGAAAAACAAAGAATGAGCATCAGCATGAAATCTACACCTTTTTTTTCTCGGGTAAGTAAGCATGAAATCTACACATATTTGCAGAGTAAGACTCCTAACACAGAAACACACAAAGACAAAGTCTTTATTTGTGTACATATATCACGAAAACCAGAACCTACATACTAGCATGCATTCCCAGAGGTTATAGAAAACATAACAGAAACAAAGAAAATGATAAGATGAATTGTCCATGGATCAAGTGTGCCTGAGCTTGCAACAGATAGATATAATCTCAATTTAACAACATGTGTGCTTATGCATGAAGTATCAGAAAATTAATACAGTTAATTAGCACCAAGTTTTACAAAGTTTTAAATTTCTCGGAAGGTCAAAGTTTTAAATTTCTACTGTGTGCCTAAGTAATATTTGCAATGTTAAATGACCAGAACACTGAACCGACATAATTGATAGATAGATAGATAGACAGATAGATCTTCTAAGTTGAGTGATTATAGACCAATCTTCTGTTGTAATACACTGTAAAAGTGCATTACAAAAATTCAGGCCAACAGAGAGAAGAGTATTTTGCCTCATCTCATTAGCTATGCTCAAGCTGCTTTCATAAAAGGTAGATGAGAGACAGATAGAGAGGGGGTTAACATATTGAAATAATTACTGATCATAGCCTTCAGCAGTAAGTCTGCATGATGTTGCTAGTATCCCAGCATTATTTATCAGGAGTTGGACTGAAGAATGTAAATTTGAATCCAATAGCCACTGCTGAAGAGAGCCTTTGAATTTTACAATTGACTGAAAGGACAATAGGTCAACCTCAAATGCCTTAAGAAGGGCATCTTTGTTCTGTGCTCTGATGTCATCCATAGCCTGTCATGCAACCAGCAGAGAACATCAAGAAAAGGCATAGTACAGTGAGGCACAAATAAAAATACTGATGACAAGCACTACACCTTCAACAACATATGAGAAGATCTCCCAGCTGCAGGCGCGCAATGAATTATAGTTATACATTTCTGAAGTTTGGCACCCAAAAGAAAAGGTGATAGACATAGAGAGAGAGAGAGAGAGAAACTGACACTAATCACATAATAAATGCCTTTTTGTAGATAGGAAAGGCATAATCTAAAGAGCAACACAACAATCATGCTTTGTATGGATTATGTAAATGAACACAATTGTGCTTTGTAGGATATGAGTTTGACATACTAGATATAAATCATCATGCATCAACATCGCCCACACTGGTTTACATGGTCCAACAATGCCTTTGAATGCCCAAAAGAAAACAAGCACTCTTGGAAGGCTACAAACTTGAAGGGAACAGTAAATACAGCACTTGAGATGTATTTCTGCATCAAACTTAGTGCCTTATGGCGAATGCTCAAATCAGACTCACTAATAGAATGTCAATGGATCCTTAGTAGGCAAACCAGCATACTTCGCCCTGTTCGTTTCTACAATGCATAACTGCAAACTGCCCAATTTTCAATCCTTCTTCAGTAGGGTCCTGATTGCATTGAATCTTCCATCACGTGTATGTTTATGCATGTGCATTTGGTAATGTTTGATGAATGAAACAGATGAGATTAATAGTAAGCAAGCATGCTAAGTAAACCGCAGTTTCAGCTAATTAGATATAAAACGAAGAGAGAGACTGGCGGAATACCAAGAACCACATAGAATCCTTCTCTTGAAAGAGCATAGGCTGCTGCAGCACCTAAACCAGATGTGGCCTGCAATCAGTTATCCAAACCAACTGACAAATAAGAAAATCATAAAATGGAAAGCAAATATGAGCCATCACAATTTCATTTCGGTGCATAGTTTCGGTCAACTCAAAACATTTTAGAAATATTTTGGAAAGAAAATAGAACCCAGAAAAATAAAAATTTATTTTTAAAATATTCTAAAACATTAATCAAAATATACTGAAACACCTCAAAACATAAATACTCAACATTCAATCACTAATTTGTCTCGGTATAAATAGAAATGGAAACAAAACTTTCATCCTCCAATATGGGCAATATTCATGTGCAGTAATGAAAGGCAATTAACCGGAAACGTCACTAAATTGTGAGTGGCAAGAGCAAAGTAATAAAAAAGAGAGAGAAGTAGATGGTAGACTTACTCCAGTGATAATGCAGACTGGTATTCTGGTACCGGTGGTGGTGGGAGTTGCTGTTTTTCGTGGGGGGATTGGTTTTTGGGTGAAAAGGCTTTGGGCAAACAACTGCAAATAGGAGAATATGAGAGATAGGGTCCAATAGATTGCCATCCTCCAGAATTCGGCGGTGCAAGCAAAATGCAAAGTTTCCACTAATTCCTTTACATCCATCTCATATGCTCAGCTAAGTACCTCAATTGTCTCGTTCTTTCTCCCTGTGAAATGGAAAAAATGGAATGCCAAGATTTATAAATCAGAGGTCACTGACCCATGGTTCCAGCAAGCTAATGATGCTTAAACAACCCAGGATGGCACAGATATGAAGAATTCGACTGATAGTACTTTGAATTCCAATATTCGATTCTAATATGTGAAGCGTGATTTACCGATAGGGTGGAGTGTGCAAGCAGGAGTGCATATAATCTGAGTTCAACCCTTCAACTACCAAACCCGAGTCCAATCCAAATCCAATATTCAATCCGAACTTTTCAAGCCGAATGTTAATAGGTAAATCGTACCAATAGTTCTTGAAATTTACTACTTATATATTTTGAACCTTAAAGTTCTAATTTTGTCAATTTAGGCCTCCGAATTCATACTCTAGACCTGGTCCCTCGCACTAACTGATTTGGACAGAAAAATTTCACGTGCAACGCATGTAACTACAATTAAGGGAAATTGGGTCATTCTTGGCCACTCAAATCCAAACACTATTATTTGTACAGTGAACAACTAAAATCTCAACCCAAACAATTCTTCCTCTGTTTTTTATTCTTCATTTTCCTTTCTCTCCTTCTCCCTCTCCCGCGACACACAACAGACGCTCACAACTCCCAACAAACCATTCACTCTTTCTATACAAACACTCAGAACCTCTCTATCTCTCTCAATCACATACGAACTCACACACAAAAATACTCCTACTACAATTCTGTTTCTTTAAGCACACACACACCACACTCTGGAAAATACCCATTCAAACAAATTTAGTGTGAACCATTCACCTAATTCAACCAACCACAGTCAAAAATTCAAAACTCGCAATTCAAATTAATTCAAAATCCAATCATAAAATCAAAACCAACATCGAAATTGAAAACAAAATTGAAAATTGACATCAAAAATTATATCAACAATCAAAATTATATTAAAATCAAAATAAAATCTGACTTATTGGGGGTTGGGGTTGTTTGTTCAGCAGTGGGTTTTGGGTAAACACAAAATTGGAGTTGGAGTGTTGGAGACTTCTTGGTGGAGGTGGAAGCTGGAGTCAGGTCATGGTGCCCTCGCCATCAATGACCAAAAACAGAGAATAAGAGGGAGAAATCTATGAAAACCAAAGGAAGGGAGTGGGTGGGGTTGGATAGATGGAGGCCTGATGGTGGTGAGGGGGTTGGGCCGAAAAACAGAGAAGGGGATTGGGCTGGTGCGCATCTCGAATGAAACAGAGAAGGGGATTGGACTCATGCAAAAGAAATTGATCATGAATCTCGAATGAAAAATTGTTCATCAAAACTATGAACCAGGACTATATTTTAGTCACTTCCCAGCCCAGAGGAATACATAACTCGGCCATCGAGGGTTTNGTTGAGAAGAGAGAGATGGTCGGCAGCCGCAATAGTAGGTGAAGTCAACAATATGTAAATACCGAAAAAATTAAAATTTTATCAGAAAAGGTAAAAAAGTAATGAACCATTATGGTGTGCACTGAAAACCTGAATTTTTTTAGAACTCGGATGACGAAACGGACCTCATCGTTGGATTCGGCTCGCGAAATCTTGTTACCCAGTCAATTTTCATCGAATTCCAAGACAATCAAATTATTTGCTTTTTACGAGGCGATATAAAAATGTACTGAGCCTAAAAAGGGAGGAAATTTAATAGATTCGGAATAAAATTGAGTTAGAAAAGACGAGACGTGTGGCTTAATAAGAACCAAGCCAAGTATTAGGCGGTATAAATAGAAGAGAAAATCATATTTTCTCCCCACTTTACATCTACAATTTCCAAAAAAAAAGAGAAAGAAGAGAGAGAAAATCAAGGGTTCTCCTTCACTTCTCCCTCCGATCTACGATAATCCGACCATCGGATCTCTTCGAGCTAAGAACAAAAGTTGGTCTACACATAAGTACCAAAGATTACGAGTTTCGCCACAATACAAGAGATAGGGTTCCTTTCCTAATTAAATTTATTTCTAAACTAGGGTTGAAATATGAAATGAATAGGGTGTTAGAGATGAAATCTCATGTATAACACATACCTAGGGTGTTAGAGAATGGAAATGGGTATAAGAATGTGTTTAAACTAAATCTTGCATAATTGGGTGTTGATGAAATTGCTTACTTTGGAATTTCATGAGCAATTGTATTGATTGGGACATGTTGTGTGTTTACATAATCTATGTGCCATGTAGGTGCTTGTTAAAATGTCTAAGAATGATTAAGTGTGTTATGTGTATAGAATATGCTATAACATGCTTTAGAAAGATTGTGGGATGTAATTATATGTCTTATGATATGATGAACATGCTATTGTAATTGCAATTATAAAGTTGATTGCATAGAGATATGGAATGCAATTGTTCATCACATTTGCATATGCATGGATAGCATCATATTCGTAGGCATTCGACATGAGTGTGGATCTGTGTGCATAGTTTTGATCAAACACCATTTATGGTAAGTTGATACATGGGCTTGATAAAGTTGGACGTAGGTTCGACTGAGTCGCACTAGTTGAATTGAAAACAAAGATCGAGGTTAGCAAAAAGAGCTAGATTCTCCCTCGAGTGCAAGACCCGATAATTTCAGATACTCACTCCTGTTGGTATTGAGTCTATAAAGTGTGTCGACGTACGCGAAACCGTTGGTGAAAATTCATAGATGTTGTATCGGTTGGGTACCCATTGGTGAAAGTTCATAAATACCCACCCCAAGAAAGACCCGAGATTTTATAAAACGATCATTCAATATGTAACATCAATGTTGAGGCTTGGAATGCCCGGATGTAGACTTATGACATGACATGTTATATGGGAGTCGGTGGAGGACTCAGGTTGCATTGCATGTGTGAGTTTCATCTCATAACATGGCATGACATTGTGGTATTCATTTATAAATTGTATATTCTTGAATGGATGATTGATTGATAAATTATATGTAAACATTTATGGTTGGGGAGTAGTCTCCTTAGGAGATATCCTATTGAACATAACTCACCTTTTATGGGAACATATTTTAGGTGTTAGACAAGCACCAGTGAATGGCCCTCATTTGGATCCTTGTTGATGAAGGAGCCAAAATGTGACTCTTAAATTATATGTTTGTAAATTTTTATAAAGGATATATGTAATGAACTCTTTTGGACAATGATTTTTATATAAATGAATGAATGGATGATTATGGTATAAGTTTGAATGGCCAAGAGTTAAAAATGAAAAGATTGGAGAAAAATCTAGGTTCAGATATCGGTACTTAAGTGATTAAGTACCGGTATCGGTACTTGGATTTCAGTAGGCTTAAATACCGGTACCAAGACTATAGGTACCTGTACACTGATGGACAGTGAACTCAAGTATCGGTACCAATACACATGGGCACTGGTACCTAACAAACAGTGAGCTCAAACACCAATACCAAGACACATAGGTACATGTACCTGAAAAACAGAAAGCCCAGGTAGCGGTACCACGTATCAGAGGTACCGGTACTTCCTCCCAAAGCTTGAAATTCTAAAATGTAACTCTGAGGGGCATTCACTCTTTGAACGACCACCATGGATGATATAAATGGATAATAATAAGTCCGAATTACTGGTGTTTGGACCTTGTAATAGTCATGTGGTTGATATGTGTACAGGTTATGCTTGGGTAATGATCTGGTACAAGAGAGACTCTGCCCAAACTTTATTTACAATCCCGATGATGGGGATGTAATGACATGGTGTCGGGTTATATGGCATACACGTATACTTCCACGGGTTGAGAAAGAGCCCCGGATTTTGGGGTGTCACACAATGACCCAGAGAGAGACAAACAAAGAGATGGAGAGACTTTGGCTCAACAGAAGGAACTATACAGCTAAAGGAAAAATTATTCATTGTTTTATTTATTACTAGTAATTTCCCATGCATGAAGGCATTATGTAACAAATAAAAAATCGCACATACGGAATTGCACAACACAACAAATCGTAAATCAAGAAAACTGAAAAAATAGCCAATAAATATGTCCAAAATTGTGACCGGACAATTTTTATGAACTAAACAATGCCATGCACTAAAAAATAAAAAATAAATAAACAACCATCATAACATTAATAATTGAAGACAGTACACTATTATATCTCAAGAATTCAGCAAGAACACAAAGCCGTGATGTTGTACTTTTTAAAGCAATCAAACCAGATTCACTAAAACCGATACAAAAGGAAAAATGTATCAAAAGACATGGATACCTACACTCACAAATAACAACAGGGATTTGAACACCACAAATAGGCCCATCATGCCCAAAGAACCTGTCTATGTACATAAACCTTTCCAGAAGAATTGAGTACTTCGACAATTTATGCATCCTATAACATGGAGGCAAGACCTGAACCAAGTTCATCAATCAATATCCCTTGCCCCAAAACCCAAACAAAGAAAGAGGAAAAAGAAGCTTAAAGGTGAACCAAACTTACTAAGCGCAACACGCTTGGCATGAATTGCACATAGCATTGCATCTTCAAACAAATGAATCAAATAGTCCTCTGTTGCTTACAAAAAATAACCAGCTATAAAACTTTGAAAACAAAAGTCGAGTAGATGAGTTCTTATTTGGAATTCCAAACAATTCTACCATGAAATCTGAACCTGTTTGAGGAAGCCTGGGCTGCCTATAATTATGGAAACAGTAAAAAGAATTGGTTTTTATCCTTCAAAACTTAAAATGGTATGGAGAAGCATATAATGGTGGAAAAATAGTTTAATTGGACTAATATGTGGTATCAGGTCACGCTAGGGGTGCATTTGAACATTCCTTTATGTATCAATGGGCAATAATGATTGGTAGTCCTGCTTATTAGTCTTTTACAATGCTCATCTGACCATAAACAATACAAAAACCAACATATTCAATCTAAAAAAATCACACTAAATAGAAACTCCCGGCGACCCAAATCGGACTATGAATCACTTGCTTTCAAATCAAACACCATACGACACCACATCAAGC